CCAACCCGAGTCCCCCGTACCCGAGTCTTACGTCTCCCCGAATGGAGTGCGCGATCCAGGTCACCCCTAGGGTTAGGTCGGGCATTCCCTCTACAGGAGGACTGTTCAAAAAATTGCCCGGGGACGATTTTGTTTTGACTATGGTTTTTTATTTGTGATTTTTTGAACATTAGAATTTCAGGAGGGAAAAACACACAGACAACATTCATCGTCGATTCCCACGAAAATATAGGAAATTATGGGAAGTGGGGGGGAAGACAAAAAACAGAAAACATATGAAAACATGGGAAACTATGGGGGATATTTTTATTTAATCGCTTCGCTCATTCCGCCGGCCCATACAGTCTCATGTCTGCCGTTTGCCCGAGGGCCTGGTGTCAATGCGGCGCTTTGGGGGTTCCTGGGGCCGGTTGGGGGACTCCTGGGGCGCTCGGGGGGGCATTTGGGGGGCCTCCTGGGGCCGCTTGGGGGACTCTTGGGGGCCTCCTGAGGGCCTCGTGGGGGCCTCTTGGGGCCTCTTAGGGGCCTCTTGGGGCCTCGTAGGGGCTTCTTAGGGCCGAGGGCTCGAAATGTTGTTTCGTGTTCCCTCTCTGGGGCCCCTTTGGGAGCGTTCTTGGGGCCCTCTTGGACCGTCTTGGAGGCTTCTTGGGCCGTCTTCGAGCCCTCTTGGGCCATCTTGGGGGCCTCTTGGGCCCTCTTGGGGCGATCTTGGGGGCCTCTTGGGCCGCCTTGGGGCGTCGGGAAGCCGAAAAGGTGGAAGCTCCAAAATCTTTCAAAAACCTAAGGAAAAGCAATGAATTTTGCCTCCGGGGGCCCTCTTGGGAGTGCTCTTGGAGGCCTCTTGGGGCGTCTGGGGGCTATCTTGGGCGTCTTGGAGCGATCTTGTGGCATGTCGGACCCCTCGTGTACCATCTTGGGGGCCTCTTGGGGGCCTCTTGGCCTTTCTTGGGGCTCTCGGGGACGTCTCGGAGCCCTGTTGGTGCGCTCATGGGGCGCTCTGGTGGAGTCGCCCGGGGATCAGCCGGGAGTCGCCCGGGGTACTTTTCGTCCGGGGACCCCCAGGGGCCGCCCCGCGCGCGCGAACTAGAGAATTGTTAACCAGTTACCGGAGATCTTAGCACGCCTCTGGCCCGTTGGGCCGGCGAATTTGTGTGTATTTGTTTGTGTGTCCTGGGGGCGTGGAGATGTCACCGCGCTCCGCGCGCCGCGGCACGGCCAGGAGCGGTCGCCCTTCTCCAGTGAGGGGCTGCGCGAGGGCGCGAAGGCGATCGCGCCCTCGCGCGTCGCGGGGCGCGATACGCGAGGTTACAGCTTGGCATCGCCTGGGAGGCGGAGGAGGAGGAGGAGGAGGAGGAGGAAGAGGAAAGAGGAGGAGGAAAGAGGAGGCGGAGGAGATGCCCCGCTCCTGGATGTCCTCCGACGGGCCGCCCTGCGCCGCGCCGCCGCCCCGCCTCTGCCCCGCGTGCGGCGCGCCGCCGCCGCGGGGCGGCGGCGCCTCGCGTCGTTACGATAGGCCACTGCGTTTTTTTCGGAGACAAAGGATCCGCGCTGGGCCTTCCCTGGCGGCGCCTCCGGCGCCGCCCCTGGCGCGCTGCGCGCGCCAGGGAGGGGGGTCCAGCGCAGAGCCGAGAGATCCGCGCGGAGCGCCAAAAGTATATGTCTCCGCCGCACTTGTTTCTTCTAGAGGTTGCGTCTTGGCATCGCTCGGGCGTGTGCATGTTTTCCTCGGCGAGGGCAATGGAGGAGCATCTTGAGCCCTCTTTTGAGGGAAGAAAGAACGCACGACAACGAAAGATACACGGGACATGGACGCCCGAGGGATGGCAAGACGTTGGCGACCCGAAATGCCTCCCACCCGCGGGGCACAACTCCAGCGCAGGGAGCCTCGTGAGCGGAGACGGGCGGCCCGTCAGCCCCCGTCCTTACGGCGCTGCCAAGCAGGTTGCGCAGCGCAGCGTGCTCAGCACCTCCTCTGCCTCCTCCTCCTCCTCCTCCTCCCCCTCCTCCTCCTCCTCCCTCCTCTTCTCCTCCTCCTCCTCCTCCTCCTCCTCCCTCCTCCTCCTCCTCCTCCTCCTCCTCCTCCTCTCCTCCTCCTCCTCCTCCTCCTCCTCCTCTCCTCCTCCTCCTCCTCCTCCTCCTCCTCCTCCTCCTCCTGCCAAGCAGGTTGCGCAGCGGGCTCGGCACCAGGCGGTCGCGGCGTGCCCAGCTCCAGCCGGAAGCCCGTCGGCTGGAGTGCGCGACCCAGACCCCCTCGCGTTGTGAAAAAACATGGTGAAGAAAACACGACGGGAGGTTTTTGCATCATTTTTGGCCTCCTTCTCCCTTCCCACTTCCTCCTTCTCCTTCTCCCTCTCATTTCCTCCCCCCTCGCTCGCCGCCGGGATGGTAGAGGGAAGAGAGCGAGGGAGAGGAGAGATCTGCCCAGGACACCCCGCCCGCCCCAGGCCTTGGCGCCACGCGGCTGGCCGCCGTACGCCGTCTGGCTGGCGCACCCTTCTTGACCGCTGCACGGCCGGCTGCTGCCGTGCGCCTGGGCGCTCTTGCCGTGCGCTTGAGCGCCCCCTCGCCCGCCGCCATGTTTAGGCGGGCCTCGTGGCGGTGACGGCGGCGCCGCCGGACGGCAGCCGAAGGTCCCGCTCGGCGAGTGCGTTGCGGTGCGCTGGCTAGCGTGGGCCGCGCCGCGGCCGCCGCGTCGGGGGCGCGGGCCCAGCTCCGCGCCGGACTGCGGCGCGCATCATCTTCGCCCTCCCTCCCATCCTCCCCCTGCCTCTTCCCGCCTCCTCCTTCTGCCTGTTGTCCCTCCCCCATCCTCCCTCCTCCTTCTACTCCTCCTCCTTCTACTCCTCCTCCTCCTCCTCTCCTCCTCCTCCTCCTCCTCCTCCTCCTCCTCCTCCTCCTCCTCCTCCTCCTCCTCCTCCTCCTCCTCCTCCTCCTCCCCCTCTCCCTCTCCCTAGGCCTCGGGCCCCGCCTCTGCCCCGCAGCCCCGGCCCGCGCTCCCCGGCGGGGCCCGCCCGCCCCGCCCCCCCCCCTCCCGCGCCGCGGGGGGGCGGCGGCCACCCCCGCGCCCTTCCCCGCGGCACGGCAGCGGCGGCCGCCGCTGCGCCGCGCAGGATTGCTGCGCGAGCGGGCAAGGGGGAGCGCGGGGCGACGAAGGGAAGAGGGAGGGGGGATGACGAGCGGAGGAGGAGGAGGAGGAGGAGGAGGAGGAGGAGGAGGAGGAGGAGGAGGAGGAGGAGGAGGAGGAGGGGGAGGAGGAGGGGGAGGGGGAGGTGGAGGCGGAGGCGGAGGAGGATACGGAGGAGACGGAGGAGACGGAGGAGACGGAGGAGACGGAAGAAACGGAGGAGACGGAAGAGACGGAGGAGACGGAGGAGGAACAGTGCCACAAACCGCCGAGCAGTTGAGGCGTGTCAGCAGCAGTGCGCCCGGAGGGGCCACGCTGAGCGAGATTCATGTCACCAGCCATTTCTTATTTCCATACCAGACCCTTACCATATACATCAGTGTTTTCCTCCCCATTCAGGCATCCCTGTGGCTACCAGTACCACTTGCGCGGCCACCGTGGCCACGTCAGCCAACCCTGCTTGGCACCGCCGACAGCGAGAACAACGAGCAGCAACACGAGTACTGGTACGTGTTGCATATGCACGTTCATTACTTGGTCAACATACGCATCACCAACTTCACGCTGCACGAGAGCTCCTCGCTTCGCACCATGTCGCCCAGCAGCCACCACGACACCCACCTCGAGCTCCAGTGATAGCGACGTCATGGCGTACAACTGCGAGCGGATCGGAAACTGCGCCACCACCGTGGAGGTCTGCATCAAAACCGACCAAGAAGCAGAGCAACGACACCGATATCTGACACCGTGCCCGCGGGCGCTCGCCGTGGTGCACCGGAGCTGGAGGTCTCGGGGCTGGGAGCAGCCTGGGCCCCGGCTTCGGGTCGTGACGCCGTGTGCGGGCGAAAGACGAGGCTCGAAGGAATAAAAAGCGTTATAACCAGAAACGTACGACGCTCTGCGCCAAGACTTTCTGCTTATGCCGTTTTTTCTTCTCCTAGAGGCTCCGCGAGCGGGCCACAGGAGATACCCAACCGCAGCCTTCGACAACGGCCCTGCTGCTTCAGCACCTACCTTGGCCCGGGGGTTGTGGTGTCCCGCGCGGTTTTCCCGTCGTTTCTTTTGCGGGAGCCTTGTGGCTGTCTTGCAGTTCTTAGGCGGTTGTCTTGCGGTTGTCCCGTGCTGTTGTGTCGGGGTTCTCTTCTGCTTGTTTTGCTGTCTGTTTAAGGTTTGCGTGTGTGTTTGTGTGTGCGTATGTGCGCAGCGCGGGGACCCAACCAGGAAATTTGCTTTGGTTCGTATCCCGCCGTACGTGCGGGCGGGCGGGAGGCGGTAATTCATATTAGCCGCAGCCAAGAGCAAGTTCGACAAGCGGACAACGCTTCGGGGGCTGTCCCGCGGTCGTCACGTGGTTGTCGCGCCATCTTCCGCTCCCTCCCGTCATTGTCCTTTTTTCCTTCAGGCAGGCTGGATGTTGCAAGAGTGTGGTTTCACGTGCGCGTGCGCCAGCACAGCACCAAGCCCGGAAGCACAGTACAGCACCTTGGCGTCTTAGGTAGCACCTCTTGGCCGCGGGAGGCCTGGAGGGGCCATGATGAGCGAATTGGTTTCGCTTGATTGGTGGGTTCCCTTAGTCGCGGGGGGCCTAGAGGGACCATTTCGAGTGAGTATTTTTCGCTTGATAGGTGGGTCCCCCTGGCCGCGGGGGGCCTATAGAGTATAGAGGGACCATTTTGAGTGAACCGTGCTCGTTTCAGGGGTCAGCGCTTACCAGAATTTGAGCGCAAGGGAGAGAGCGTTGCGACCCAACTCGCGGCTCCCCTTTCCCTCTCCTCGCCCCGTGGCGCTTCCAGTCAGCCAGGGCCTGCCCTGGATGACTTGAGACAGGCTCCGCTCCTCCCTCTCTGCTCCTCCCTCGGGAAGGACGGCGACGCTTGCGGGCAGCTGGTGCCCCCTCTTAGCTGTCCCGCTGTCGGCCAGAGAAGGCCGTTCGTCCAGCGGCTGCCGCCAATCGGCGTTTCATCCGCATCCGAGAGCCAATCGCTGCTGCAAGGCGCTGCAGACCTCTGGGCCACGTCGGCTCTTGTCTTGCCTTGTCCTTCCCCACCCCCTTCCTCCCTCCCCCTTTCCCTCCCGCTTCCTCCCCCCCTCCTTGCATTCCCCCCCCACCAATCGTTTCCCGCTTCCTGCCCCCCCGCCCTCTCCGCCTCGGCATCTTTCGGTTGTGTGCATGTTCTCCTCGGCGAGGACCATTGAGGAGCATCTTGGATCATGTTCGAAGAATGAACGCACGACACCGACAAAAAACACACGGGAAATGGACGTCCGAGCGATGGCAAGTTTCTCGCTTCTTGCACCCCCCGCCCCGTCCGCTTCCCCTTCCCGGCCCGAGGCGGGGGGCCGCTTTGGCGCCGCCGGCATGTCGTACCGCGCGGCGGACCGCAGTTTGGAGGAGGCGCACGGGCCCCAGCGGCCGCCTTCGGGCGCCGGCCCCGACACCGAGGGGATCCACGGGCTCCTCCTCCTCTCCTCCTCCTCCTCCTCCTCCTCCTCCTCCTCCTCCTCCTCCTCCTCCTCCGCCTCCTCCTCCCCCCTCCTTCTCCTCGTCCTCCCCCTCCTCCTCCCTCCTCTCCTCCTCCTCCTCCTCCTCCTCCCTCCTCCTCCCTCCTCCTCGTCCTCCTCCTCCTCGTCCTCCTCCCTCCTCCTCCTCTCCTCCTCCTCCTCCTCCTCCTCCTCCTCCGCCTCCTCCCGCTCCTCCTCCTCCCCTCCTCCTTCTCCTTCCTCCTCCCCTTCTCCTCCTCTCCTCCTCCTCCTCCTCCTCCTCCTCCTCCTTCTCTTTCTCCTCCTCCTCCTCCTCCTCCTCCTTCCTCCTCCTCCTCCTCATCCTCCTGCTCCTGCTCCTGCTCCTTCTCCTTCCCCTCCTCCTCCGCCCCCCTCCTCCTCCTCCTCCTCCTCCTCCTCCTCCTCCTCCCTCCTCCCCTCCTCCTCCTCCTCCTCCTCCTGCTCTCCTCCTCCTCCTCCTCCTCTCTCTCCTCCTCCTCTCCTCCTCCTCCTCCTCCTGCTCCTCCTCCTCCTCCTCCTCCTCCCACTCCTCCTCCTCCTCCTCTTCCTCCTCCTCCTCCTCTCGCTCCTCCTCCTCCTCCTCCTCCTCCCTCCTCCTCCTCCTCTTCCTCTTTCTCATCCTCCTCCCCCCTCCTCCTTCTCCTCCTCCCCCTCCTTCCCCCGCCCTCCCTTCGCCAGCCCGGATTCGCCTCGTGACCCTGGCCAGGCCCGACCAGCGTTGGCCCAGGTCAGCGCAGCGCGTGCCCGACGCCTGCCAGGCCTCTCAGATGGGGTCGGCGGAGGAGGAGCAGGAGGAGGAGGAGTAGGAGGAGGAGGACGAGGAGGAGGAGGAGGAGGAGGAGGAGGACGAGGAGGAGGAGGAGGGGTACCAGGAGGAGGCAGGAGGAGGAGGATGAGGAGGACGAGAGGAGAGAGGAGGAGGAAAAAGAGACAGACAAAAACGAGGAGGAGGAGGAGGAGGAGGAGGAGGAGGAGGAGGAAGAGTTGGAGGAGGCGGAGGAGGAGGAGGAGGAAGGCGTCCCCGACGCCTGCCAGGCCTCTCAGATGGGGTCGGAGTAGATGGGGTCCGAAGATCGCGCCGCATCGTGGATGTTTCGGCGATGCGGCGCGACGTGGATCCAGGCTTTCTCCACGCCAGCGTCGCCGATGCACCGCCGGCGTCGCCAGTGCATTGCCGATGCATCGTCGGTGTATTGCCGATGCGGCGCGACCCTCCGACCCCATCTACTCGGACCCGATCTGACAGGCCTTTAATCCTTCCTGCTCTGCTCAAGGGGGGGGGGGGCAGCTTGTGATGAGTAAGTGTCTCCCCCTCGTTTGCCTGATGAATCGGGGCCGCGGGCCGCGAAACACATGCCTTTTTCCCCTAAGCAGTGCTTGCACTTACACGCCAGTCGTTGAAAGCAGGTGCGGTAGGTTTGCGTCGTGTCGACCAGCGGCGACCCCAGCGCGGGCGTTCAAGGTTGAACGCCGCCTGCGACCCAGAATCGATCGATGTTGAACGATCGGACGTTGCGGCAGCGGCCGATCGTTCAAGGTTGAACGATCCCTGCGGTGTCAAAAACCAACGCTGGGGTCGGCACGACACGAACCTGCCGTATATTTGGACTCCCAGATCCCAGTCTGCTTCAGGCGCCTTCCTACTGAAAGAGCCGAGTGGTGCTCCCTCTTCCCTCCTCTTCAGGGGGCAGGCGGAAGGCCAATCCACTTCCACTGCCTTCCCGCTTCACGGTCCTGCCTACTTCTTCCGAGCGACGGGCGCGGGGCTCTCCCTTGCCCTGCAGAGCACAGTGCCGTTTTTAACACATGCTCCGCGTGCGGATCATGTATGAAAACTACAGGGGATCAGTATTCAACACAACGACGAATTCATGCAGAAATTTATCCATAAATCGAGCATGTATTAAAAATCCAATGTTTACAAAAAGTCCCATGCATTAAAACCTGCCCTGTACCACGTTGGCGCCCTGTGCGGACGCCTCGCGGGCGTTCGCAGGAGGCGCCGTGCCCCGGCCGCGTGGGTGGGTCCGCCGCGTGGGGGCCCCGTGCCCGCGCGCGGGAGCCCGCGGGCGCTCGCGGACGCCCCGTGCTCGGCTGCACAGTATGTTTGGCATCGCTCGGACGTGTGCTCCTCCTCCTCCTCCTCCTCCTCCTCCTCCTCCTCCTCCTCCTCCTCCTCCCCCTCCTCCCCCTCCTCCTCCTCCTCCTCCTCCTCCTCCTCCTCCTCCTCCTCCTCCTCCTCCTCCTCCTCCAGGGGCTCCAGCGGTTCCCTGGCGAAGCTCCCCCGGGGAGAGGGGGGGGGATCCACACCCTTCCTGGCGCCCTGCCTGGGATCCGGTCCCCAGGCCTGCGGCTTGGCATCGCTCGGACGTGTGCATTTTTCCTTCGGCGAGGACCATCGAGGAGCATCCTTGATCATTTGGCGAAACAACCACGCACGAAACCGAAAAAAAACACAGGGAATGCACGTCCGAGCGATGGCGAGTACCAGACCGCCCCAACCCAACCCGAAGGCCTCAATTCGCCCTCCATTTCCAGTGGGGGGGGGGGGGGGCGGGGAACGGTGAAAGAACACGTGGAACCCGGTCCCCCCCCCCAACCCCGAAATGCGGGTCAAATTCGGGTCTTCGAGTTGGGTTGGGGTGGTCTGGTAGGTCGTCAGCATAAGAGCGACCCTTCGCCAGAGTGACCTTTTGGGTGCGGGCCCACTGAGGTCCCCCGCCCGCCGAGCGCAGTGCGGTGCGGTTGGGGCCCATGCCAAGAAGCGCCCCGCTGGCCTCCAGGGTGCCCTGGGTTGCTTGGCTTTCGATGCTTCTGCTATGGAACAGCGCGACGCTCCCACACCAGCAATGGGTGGACGCCCTGGGGTCTCAGGGCTGGGCTTCGTGTGGAGGGTCCCTCGTGGTCGAGCCTGCACTCTATGCGCGCCTGCGTCTGGCCCTCCCGCGGCCCCGAACGCACCGAAGGCTCACTCTCTTGCTTGCCCAGGGGTCGCTCCTGCGACCCGTGCCCTGCGCGGGCGCGCCGCGGCCCCGCCCCGTGCCCGCCTACAGTGGGGACCCTGCCGGCGCTCGCGGGCGCCCGGTGCCTAGGGCGGGTGACACACCGGGCTCGCACGCCGCAGCTCACACCGCGCAGCCTGCGCACCGCACGGCTTGCACGGCGCAGCTCGCACGCCGCAGTCCACACCGCACGGTCTGCACGGCATGGCTCGCGCCACACAGCTGGCACGGCATGGCTATCACCGCACTGCTTTTGCACAGCACGGCCAAGTTTGCAGAGGCTACTCCGCAAAGCTTACTCAACGTGGCTATCAGCACATAGCTGACTCCTCATGTCTGCCACTTCGCAGTATAATGACTCACTGTTTGAGGGTCCATGCTGACTAGCATGATTGTCCGTTCTTGATCGACTATACATCGAAGATGCCTATGTACGGCGAATCACCGCCGCCCCCTGCCTTTTAAGATCGCTCATGTGGCCGAGCGTTGTGGCAAGAGCTCGGCCAAGCTATCGGACCGCGCATTCCCCCAACCGTTGTGGAAACTCTTCGGGGAATATTTGGGGGAGGATGGCGGGGAAGATCAGGAGGAGGAGGAGGAGGAGGAGGAGGAAGAGGAGAAGGGGGAGGGGGGAATCTTGGGAGCCTCTGGGGGCACTCTTGGGGCCTCCTGGGAGCTTCCTGGGGGCCTCTTGGAGGCATCTTGGTGGCCTCCTTGAGCCTCTTGGGGGACTTCGGGGGCTTCTCGGGGGCCTCTTTGGCCGTCTTAGGCCGTTCCTGGCCCGTCGGAAGCCGTCTTGGGGGCCTCTCTGGGCCGACTTGGGGCCCTCTTGGGGTGCTCCAGGGCCGTCTTGAAGGCCATCTTGGGCGTCTTTGAAGCCTCCTGGGCCGTCTTGGGGCCCCCTTGGGGCCGTCTAAGGGGCCTCCACGGCCGTTCTGGGGCAATCTTGGAAGCCTCTTGGGCGATCTCGGGGCGATCTTTGAGGGCTGTTGGGCCGTCTCGGGTCGTCGGAAGGCCTAAAAGAAGCAAATGCCCAAACCTTGCAACTCAAACCTTAGGAACATTAGTGATGTTGACCTCGTCGGGCCTTCCTGGAGGACCTCTTGGAGGCCTCTTGGGCGGTCTTGGAGGCCTCTTAGGGGCCTCTTGGGCCGTCTGCCGTCATCTTGAGGCTGTCTTGAGCAGTCTTGGAGTCTTTTTCTGCGAATTTGGAGGCATCTTGGACTTTCTTGAGCCGTCTTGGAGGCCATCTTGCACCATCTTGGGCGAACTGGAAGGCCATCTCTCCTTATCCTAGGTCACCCGCGGGAGCGCGAATACAACCGCGCTTCGCGGTTTGCGGTCCGGCCCAGAGAGTTTGTTGCCCCCTTTCCCAGTGATGCCGCGCGAGGGCGCCGTGATGGGTGCTAAGTCGGGCGACCTATCCTGCCTCTCACGAGCTGGGTGGGGGCCCCCCCGACGGGGGTCGACCCTGCCTCGCCTGGCACATCGCGCCGTGTGTTCGAGCTCCCCCTCCTCCTCCTCCTCCTTCTCCTCCTCCTCCTCCTCCTCCTCCTCTTCCTCCTCCTCCTCCTCCTTCTCCTCCTCCTCCTCCTCCTCCTCCTCCAGCACGAGCGGTCACGGCTGAATCGGCCGGTGTCGCACGATCTGCGCTATCGGAAAGCCGCGATCGTGCAATCGGCGTCACCCCACCATGCTCATATTATGTGCACGTCGCCCACCCCCCCCAAGGGGCGGCGCGCGCACCGAGAAATCTTATAGAATCTGCGTCGTGGCGGGCGCTTTCTGGCCACACCGCACGGGAACCGATATACTACCAGGTGGGTATACCATATGTTCGGGTCGGACGCGCGCCTCCAAGGAGAACATATAGTACTAGTATGTCTTCATGCGTCCCATGCCAGGGTGAACGGGCCACGCGGTGTCAAAACCAGCGCCGACGTCATGGCGAAGGGAGCCGGCCACAGCCGTCAGCCACGCCGGGCCACCCCCGAGCGTCGAGCGTGCTGGGCTGGGACGAGGCTAACATCCGTTCGAGAGCGTTCCTGGAGCGCTCTCAGAGCATTCCTGAACTCGGGGGCGGCAAAGAGGGGGGTGATGACTAGGGGGGGGGGGATATCATGGCGGGGGCCATGATTTTTCCCCAGATTTTATGGCGCCTCTTCTTATTTCATTACGTCCCTGGCCCCCCCGCTGGGCCGCGCACATGCCGCCGGTCATGATGTGCACCCCCCCTCGTGGACACCCCCCTCTTGGCCGCTCCCGAGAGAAGGCCGCGGCGCGCGAGGCATCCTTCAGAGCTGCCGGATCCCAGAGATTCCCGATTCATCCTTACCCGACCTCAGCCTCGTCCTTCCGTGGCGGGGATGTTATCCAGAACCACCGCCTGGGGGTTCGACCTTCGCGGACCTCCAGAGGCGGTGGATATGGATCGAATCTCTTCGGCCCCCGGGGCCAAAATATGTCCATATGGGCCGCCCGTGTGGGCACCAGGACGCCGGCTCCCAGGCGGTGGATCTGGATAAATCCCCGCCTCGCAGTCCTGGCTTCGTCTTTAGTCGAGCCAGCCAAGGTCGAAGTTGGCCATGGCGGAGCTGACGCAGCAGGCGGGCGCGGGGGCTGCGCCCCCTCCCCTGCATGCGGGTGAGCCTCGGCCTCTGCCTTCGGAAGCTTGGTACCGCTCGGGCGTGTGCCTTTTTTATTTGTTTTTTTGTTGTCTCGGCGAGGGCCATCGAGGAGAGCCGGCTGAGCCGGATGCGAGATCGGCCTGGCGGCCTGGTGCCAGGATGTATATTCCGGGACCGCCTGGTGCAGGCAAGCCCCGCCCACGACGAAAGAGGAGGAGGAGGAGGAGGAGGAGGAGGAGGAGGAGGAGGAGGGAGGGAAGGAGGGAGGGCGGGAGGGGTGATGAGTGGAAGGGGAACGAGGAAGGACCCAGGGTGGGAGGAGGAAGGACCCAGGGTGTAGGGAGGACGAGGGCGGGGGGGCATATGCTTCATGCTCCGCAGAGGGCTGTGCTTTTGCTGCCAGTCCTGACAGGCGCAGTCGCGAGGAGGAGGAGGAGGAGGAGGAGGAGGAGGAGGAGGAGGAGGAGGAGGAGGAGAACCAGGGTACACCAGAGATGCATCAACGGTGCTGCAACGCACCTTCCCGTTCCGAATCCTCCCCTCGGAAAGCCTTCTTTCTCACTCACGGAAGCGCCCCCTTGAGAGACCAGCACCCCACTGGCCAGGTGAGAGCCCCGTTTCGACAAGGAACTGCCTTGCATCCTTCTCGCGAGGGATACGAAGCTCGAACAGGTACCACCATATTTTCGTGTACAACTTCAGCGAGGTGTCCAGCGAGGCCACCGTCTGGAAACAAAAACGCCCCTCTCTACCTGTGTGAGTGCTGCACAAGCTGGCAGTTATGGCCGTGAGCTCTGAGGCAGTCTTCCGCGCGAGCCCCGCTTTGACTTGGGAGCCGCCCTCCATCCTCGCAGCTGCCACCGATGTTCAAGCTCGTGGTCCTTGACAAGCAGGCCGCTCGAGCTTGGCAGCGCTCGGACGTGTGCATTCTTCCTTCGGCGAGGGCCATCGAGGAGCATCCTGGATCATTTGGCGAAAAAAACACGCACGAAACCGAACAAAAGCACAGGGAATGGACGTCCGAGCGATGGCGAGGGCAAGCAGGCCGCCGGTCGAGAGCCCCGTGCAATCTGCAGCTGCCGGCGCCTCCGAGCAGGGCGCTGCTGCAGGGCCTCTCGCGCCCGATGCCTTCGCGGCGGCTCATCCTCCTCCTCCTCCTCCTCCTCCTCCTCCTCCTCCTCCTCCTCCTCCTCCTCCTCCTCCTCCTCCTCCTCCTCCTCCTCCTCCTCCTCCTCCTCCCTCCCTCCCTCCTCCCTCCTCCCTCCTCTCTCCTCCCTCCTCCCTCCTCCCTCCGCCTCCTCCTCCTCCTCCTCCTCCTCCTCCTCCTCCTCCTCCTCCTCCTCCTCCTCCTCCTCCTCCTCCTCCTCCTCCTCCTCCTCCTCCTCCTCCTCCTCCCCTCCTCCCCTCCTCCCTCCTCCCTCCTCCTCCTCCTCCTCCTCCCCTCCCTCCTCCTCCCTCCTCCTCCTCCTCCTCCTCCTCCTCCTCCTCCTCCTCCTCCTCCTCCTCCTCCTCCTCCTCCTCAGCCCCGCGCGGGTCCACCGGCGCGCGGGAACACAAATGCCGCGCAATTTACGAGGGTTGATGGCCTCGGGGGCGCAAACATTGTATGAGTTACGAGGGTCTATGGCCTCGGGGACGCAAACCTTGTGTAATTTGCAAGGGTTTGTGGCCTCGGGGATGGTGTAATTTATCAGGGTTCATGGCTCTGGGGACGCGAATATTGTGTAAATTTAGAGGGCTCATGGCGTCGGGGGCGCGAATATTTAGTAATTTTGGAGGGTTATGGTTTCGGGGACGCGAGTATTGCATGATTTTTCAAAAAAAGTTTATGGCCTCGGAGGCGCGAATAAGGTGTGTAAGTTATTAGGGATTGGGGCCTCGGGGACGCGAATATCATGTATTTTCACTTGTCCCACGCCCCCCCACGAATTCTGAGAACCTTCCCAGGGCGTGGTAAAAAAACTTGTTTGGGGCTCCCACCCCTCGCGCGGACAGCAACAATTAACAGTAAGGAAACAGAAAGCAGGACTGTAACAGTGGAAACTGGAATCTACAACTGGAACAGGGAGCTGCAATCCTCACCCTCGCAGCCTGGTGGCCCCAGCGGATTAAACAAAAAATCAAATACACCCTTTGGAATCTAATGATAGCTGTCAGAGTGTCCATTGCCATGGCATCCACAATCCAGCGAGCCGTCTCACCTCGGCACCCCTCCCAAAATACTTATACTGTATTGCGCGCGTCGCCCGCGCAGGGGCGTCGTCCACAGCCCACACGCCCGCGCGATGTGAAAAACATCGCGGCGGGAAGTGTCTCGCTAGCTTCTGCCTCGGGGGCCCTCCGCTGGGCCCCGGGGCCCGTCAGACACCGGTACGGGACGAAAAACCAGTCCTATGTAAGGGATCCAGACCCTGTGAACAACAAAAAACAAAAATCAACAAACAAACACGACGTCGGGGGTTTGGTTGCAGTCGGGCCGAGGTATAAGGTCGAGGTCAGTTTGGGGAAGGCACCCTGATGTCCTTCGTTGTGCATCCTCTGGGGAGGGTGCCTCTGGATGTTCTGTTTGCTTTGGCCGACGGACGGCCTCATGTTCTCGAGGGGTGCTCTTCTGGCCCAGGTCCGACGGTACCCAGTGACGAGCTCGCCGCGTCGGACGAGGCCTCGCTTCCGATCCCTGCTCCCGTCGCCTGCCACGCCGCATCCCGCTCCACCGCGCCCGGCTTGCCGGCCTGGTCGCGGAGCCTCTCTCGGAGGCAGGGGCCGCCCTCGACTCAACAGTTCGGGTGGTGCCAGAAGTCCCCCTGGCCCAAGGTGCCCCCAGTATTTCCAAGGAGGCCCCCACGGCCTCCAGAGCACCCTTCACGAGGCCCAGATGGCCGCAGGGGCTCCTAAAAGGAACAATAAGCTGTGGGCACCTTTGGCCAGGGGCACCTTTAGCAACCCTCGAACAGTGTGTTGGCGACTCCGTGGGCCGCTTCCTCGTGTCGGCCTCGTTCTGCGGCCGAGGCGGGCTGAGGACAGAACGGAACACGGAAACGAAAAACCTTACTGATTTGGTGGTCGTTGTCTCATTCGTTGTTTTGCAGATCGGCGCGGGCCCTCGCGCACCCCCTCCCCCCCCCCATGGAGTAGGTTTTGGCTGTTTTTGGCGCCCGTTTCGAGCAGGTGGAGTCTCCCCAAACGGACGCACTGCTGCAGACGGTCGCAGTAGGCAGAGGTGCGGAGCCAGACCCCCCCCCTCCCCCCTCTCTGTCCGCCTTATTCCCCAATCAGTGCCTGCACTGAAGGGGTCCTACAGGCGGCCTGGATTGGTAGATCGACCCTGCCAGATCAAGGGTACCCTCGTGTCCTGTGTCTTGCGACCCATGCCTCCTGCATTTCTGCGGCAACGTGGCCCTCGGAAGGGTCTTGTGTCTTTTCCCGTGTCCTCCCCAATCAAGTCCGACTGTAGCGGAAGTTGAAAGATTTGGGGAAAGATTCCCGCCGATTTGGGTAGCAGGCTGGGTTGCCAGGTTCCCGGTTCCGGGGTTCCCGGTTATTGGTTCCGGGGCGAGTTCGGTGGGTTTTGGGTTCCCGGGCTCCCGGGTTTCTGGTCGATCTCCTCAGCGAAAACCATCCACATTTCGGTGGTTTCCCCGGTTCCGGGTTCCCAGTCGATCTTTTTATCGATCTCTTATCGATCCCACGATTCATAAGACCATCCTCTGATGTAATGTCGAAACGCCGAATCCGAAAACGCTCACTTGGGTTGATCCCTGCCCGGAGGCCGTGTTCAGTCAGTTTGTCACCGCCCCAACCTGACCCGAAGGCCCAATTTTACCCTCGAGATTGACACCAACACCAATATCGGCGGCGTGCCTCCACCGAGGGATGAAGATTCCGGTCTCGGTGATGGTGGTAACATTTTGGCTTCCAAGGTGGCCGAAATACGACCACCAACACCGAAATCTCGGATCATCTTCCCCCTGTGGAGGCAACCCCCTGTGTGTTGGTGCTGGTGATAAATTTCCAGGCCTCCGACGGTAGGCGGTCAGTTTCATCCCGCCGACGCCGACCCTGCCCTGCAGGGCAGGGTCGGGCCCCCCCCCAGCGCGGCGGGCTCCTGCCCGCACGGGTGGTGGGCGCGCCGCTCGCTCGCTGGGCGCCCCCCCCCCGCGGGCCTCGCCTTCGCAGCGCCGCCTCCGCGCGGGGCTCGGCCGCCGCGGGCCCGACGCCCGCCGCCGCGGGCGCTGTTCGCTTCTGCTGGCGCGGTCGCTGGCGCCATTCCTCCAGTCGGCGGGTTCGGGGTTCGAGGTTTCCGGACGTTTCTTCGGCTCTCGGCGGTTTGTCCAGCCTCGGGATGCTTGCCAGCAGTTGCGCCTCGCCGAGGGCGTTCCGGGGCCGCCCGGATCGTCCCGATTGGCCGCCGGAGACCAGAGTTACATATGACCTAAAACCAATTTCGGCGGCGCGCCCTCGGGGGAGGAATGAGAAGTAGAAGGCCTTCTCAGAAGGCGGCGGGTCTTCTCAGAGGCCATCGGGCCCCCTGAGAAGTCTTGTGTGCCTTCGGGGAAGGTTCAGGAAACTTCGGAGACGCACAGACACAATTGATCGTCGATTCCGAGGAAAACATGGGAAAGTATGGGAAGTGGGGGGGAGGACGAAAACCCAGAACATGTGGGAAAATGTTGGAAATCCCTTGATTTGTGTCTGTTTATTTGTGTCCCTGGGCCCCTTCACAGTCGGCGACGAGGGAGGGGAGGACGGGGAATGAGAAGCAGACTCAGAAGGCGGCGGGTCTTCTCCGAGACCTTCGGGCCCTCTGAGAAGTCTTCTGTGCCCTCGGGGCAGGCTCATGAAACCTCTCAGGCACACAGACACAATTGATCGTCGAGGCCCCTGGGCCCTCTGAGGAGTCTTCTGTGCCCTCTCGGCAGGCTCAGGAGGCTCTTCAGGAGGCCCACGGGGGGACCTCCGAGCCTTCCGAGACGGGCCACCCCCCCCGCGCTTCCTTCCTTCCCCTGGCATCGCTCGGACGTGTGCGTTTTTTCTTCGGCGAGGACCATCGAGGAGCATCCTTGATCATTTGCCGAAAAAACAATGCACGAAACCGAAAAAAAACACAGGGAATGGACGTCCGAGCGATGGCCAGTTCCCGCTCCAGCCTCGGGCGGCACCTGGGAAACTGCGACCGCCTCCGCTGCCTGGCCTCCGCCCCCCCTTTTGCCACCTCCGCGGCGCCTTCCTCGACGGCGGGGCCGTGACGCTCATCACCGTCCGTCCCGGGGTCGCGGCCGCCCGCCGCGCGCACCTGCCGCTTCGCCCGGGTCCTGAGCCTGGGCGCGGCCGCTGCGGCCCCCCGCGGCCACCCGCGTGCTCAGGTCGGAGTCGGCCGCCTGCGAGCGTCGCTCGGCTCCCGCGCACGCGTGCGCGCCCGCCTTCCCTCGCGGACTCCCCCGCGTCGGCCGCGGGCTCGCCACGAGAGGACTGTTCTTGTGCGCAGCGAGCGGGGGTCCTCCTCCTCCTCCTCCTCCTCCTCCTCCTCCTCCTCCCCTCCTCCTCCTCCTCCTCCTCCTCCTCCTCCTCTCCTCCTCCCTCCTCCTCCTCCTCCTCCTCCTCCTCCTCCCCTTCCTCCCCCTCCTCCTCCTCCTCCTCCTCCTCCTCCTCCTCCTCCTCCTCCGCTCCCCACCTTATTTCCACCCCTCACTCGCCCTCCTTGTTGTTCGCTAGTCAGGCCTAAAACTAACCTGATGCGCCAGCACACGCTGCGTCGCGGAAAGAACGCAGACGGGCGATCCGCCTCTTCCTCCTCCTTCCTCCCTCTCCTGTCCCCCCCAACTCCCTCCCCCGCCCTCCCCCCACGTTTCACCCTTCCCCTCCGCGCGTCTCCCTCCTCTCTTCGCCCCCTGTTTCCTCGTCCTTCTCCCTGCCTCCTTCTCTCCTCCTCCTCCCCCTCCTCCTCCTCCTCCTCCTCCTCCTCCTCCTCCTCCTCCTCCTCCTCCTCCTCCTCCTCCTCCTCCTCCTCCCATCCTCTTCCTCCTCCTCCTCCTCCTCCTCCTCCTCCTCCTCGTTCCTCTCCTACGCTGGGAGGGGGGCGGCGGCGGCGACAGGCGAACTACGACGAGCAGCCCGGGCCAGGCGCCGAGGGCCGCGCCCCGGCGGCAGGAGCGGGTGCGGGCGGCGTCGTCTCGAGCCCTGGATGATTTTCCTCCTCCTCCTCCTCCTCCCCTCCTCCTCCTCCTCCTCCTCCTCCTCCTCCTCCTCCTCCTCCCTCCTCCTCCCTCCTCCCTCCCTCCCTCCCTCCTCCCTCCTCCCTCCTCCCTCCTCTGGGCCTCCGAGCGGAGCCTCACCACCGGCTCTCTCTCCCTGCGAGGCGGCTCTCTCTCCCTGGATGATTTTCCTTGCGGGGACGGTGATTTGAGGAGATGCTGTGGGACTCGCGCACTCGTGTCCCCAGCTCGCAGTGGGTGGTCGGGGGCCTCGTTCCCAACATGCCAAGCAAGTCCTGACGCTTCGCGTCTCTCCGCCAGCCCATCGCAGATCGCCAGGCGAGCTGCCTGGGTCAGGAGAGGCTAGAAGAGTGCAGTAGAACAGCCGCCTCGGAAGCATTTTCTCGGAGGTCTTTTGGAGCCATCTAAGGGCTCTCTTGGGGTCCTCGCGGAGCCTCTCGGGGCACTCTTGATATCCTCTTGGGGCTCTCTTGGGGCCTTCTTGGAGCCCTCTTGGGGCTAGTTGGGGGGATCTGGGCGGCAGGTGGGAAGATGCGCACCGAGGTGCGTGGGAATTTGAGGTTGAGGGTTTAGGGTAGTCGCAAACGCAGTCGTAGTAGTCGTCGTAGTCGTAGTCGTAATCGTAGTAGTAGTAGTAGTAGTAGTAGTCGTCGTCGTCGTCGTCGTCGTCGTCGTCGTCGTCGTCGTCGTCGTCGTCGTCGTCGTCGTCGTCGTCGTCGTCGTCGTCGTCG